TGATGTTTTAATATAAATAATAGTTTTTAAATTTTATTTAAATTTATATTATTTTATGACTACATGATTAAAATTATTAAAAGGACCGTATTCAGCTGATAATAGAACACGAAAATATAAACGGGGATTCGCTACCCTTACTCACGGCGTGATATTGGCGATATTATTTTATGACTACATGATTAGAATTATTAGAAGGATGCTATTCAGCTGGTAATAGAACACGAAAATATAAACGAGGATTCGCTACCCTTACTCACGGCGTGATATTGGCGAGTGCTCCCTGGCCTGCCTCCCATGACGTTGTGCGCCAATTTTCGACGGTGCTGATGTTGGCCAGTGCTTCCACACGCATCCCATGACGTTGTGCCCTACCCAAAAAGAAGGCGCGAATTTTCTCTAAATCCGATGCTTCTGATGTCATGAATGTTTGTGTGTGAGGAAGAGAGGAATGGAAGTGGAGGAGGAAGGGAAAACCTGGGAAGGACCGGCGGAAACTTGTTTGAGCCTCAAGCCGGGTTCTTCGATTCCCATTTGCTACCACCAACAATTCGGGCCTCACGACGATCTCCTTCTCCTTGAGGTTGACGACAAGATTCTTCCAGATGTTCTACAAAACCGGTATATTTCTCTCTATTTTCTTCCTGTTTCATTTGAAACTAGGTTCTCAACTTTTTGTACTAGCTGCTGCTCCTGCTCTCCATCGCTCAACATCTACTGATTAACTAAAAGAGCGAACAGCTTTACGGTTGTGCTTATTTGGATCGACCACAACGTTATCGAAAGCGTGATGTGATTGGAACATCCCATTCAATAGACTGGGGGACTTTTTTGCAGATATATTACGCTGAACTGATTTAAAAATCCCACTCATTTAGTGGCTGTTTTCGGCTTAGTGTGCTGTTTAAACTATATGTTGCTCTATGTTGGAGAGGATTTAGCAGAGATGGTTATATGATAGCATTGACACTGAATTTTTGAAATAAATTTATTTTATAAGCAGTAAATCATGTGTCAATTCCTATTTTGTAGATTATTTATTTGAGGCAATTTTAGTGTTACTTTATAGTCGCATGATACCTAATGCCTTTGTCAAAAAAAAAAAAAATCAGCTTCTTTTATATGAAGTTAGATGAAACTTGTTTATCCGCATAATCTCATTTCCTCTATCATGTATAACATGTATATTCACCATTTGTTATTTGATATTCTCTCATTATTAGGAATATTCTCTTCAATTGCTTGTTTCTTTATTATTCTCTTATTCTACCTCTCTATATATATTGGGTTATACATGCATACATTTAATATAATACATAGTTTAATAATACGTGAAACTTTCACATTGTCCTTTTTTTTGTGATATCTATCATAATGATCTCTTGAAGTAAATGACCATTGTGTCTAAGAGTGTGTTTGGGGCGGCTACTGCTTTTTTAAGAAACATCTTCACAATTGTTGTCAGAAAGCTGCTATTAGAATAACTAATGTCTGTTTCGATAATATGCTGTGTTGCAGCTGTTTCTGATGAAAAAAATAGTTTTGCTCTTATATATGAAAATTAGTTGAATAACTGCAGTTTTCAAAATAATTATAGCAGAATAACAAAAATAATTTTAACTGTACAAAAAACAACTCAAGAGTCTAAATTTCTCCATTAAATCAACTGTAAGTTATCATTTCATGCACAAAATCATAATATTAAAAATCACAAAAACAAATAATAATGTTATAATGATGTTTGCCTTCATGTTCAACTGATCAATTTTTTGGAATAATTTTTTGTTCATTTCATCTCTCATGGCTTTATCTCTGTCCGAAACGAACTTATCTATATATCAATTCATCAAAAATACATTAATCTTCGTGCATCCTATTTCTGGGACAGCAATAGAATCTCCTACCATAGTTGTCTTCTCTTTTTTATGTGTATTTAAAACACTACGTACTGCAATGATAATATATAGTTTTGAAGTAGTTGATAGCATTGAATTCACTTCTCCTGAAAACATAATACATTTTGCTTTCAATTGACAAACTAAACTATATATATGCAATGGAACAAAATAAATATTTTGTTTCATAATCAGAAAAACACAAGAACAATTATGTATATCTAAAGTTATAACCTTAAAAGATTAATAAATCAAAAGATGTAGTGAAAATAGACATTAATCAATCGCCGATACATCTAAAATAGTAAATATGAATCAGAAGACAATAAAATGTCAATTAAATATATTCGTAAAACATTACAACATCTGTATTATCTTCTGTTAACTTGATCATCTTTTGAATACTCTCTTTCGAATGCGTTGAAGTCAATCTCACCAAAGATTTCTTCTGGCAATGATTGTCTTGCCCGATGTTCAAATGCTTTTACAGATATGCTTGTTGGATCTTTATCTAAAATCCTGAAATCATTATTGTCCCGAGATGGATACCTCCATATAAAATTATGTAATGTTGGCATTGCAATAACTATCTTTTCTTGTATTTTAATGGAATACGTCGGCACATCTCAGATTATATTCTACTTCTTGTCCATATGCTGAGTGATCTCAAGATAATTTTTCGTAATGATGAGTGTCTTTTGTTGAATAATCCATTCCTCTCTTGAATCATGTGGTTGTTGTGCTCAAAGTTGGAAAGGTGATATCTCATATCGGAGGACTTTAAAAAACCTCATTGCATTGGATATTCCGAATCAACGAGGTAATATTTTTTTGAATAATCATATTATTACTACATATCCTAAAATTTAACGCTTCATATATAGTCATGAATGTATTAACCTGGTAGGGATGTTAGAAATTTGTATTCACATCGCTGAGTAGCAAATTTAAATATACGAATACATGAACACTTCATTTACATTCAATCAATAAGATTATAAATCACATATCGAAGTCACAAACTGTCGAGATATTTTGTGCAGCAGTTCCATAATGTTCGATATGTGAAATTTTAATATGATTGCTAACACGTGCATCGACATGTATGTAATCAATTGCTTCTATATAATCCTTTTTAAAATATTCATTTGAATAATTTTTTTCGGTAAAACATGGGAGCAAATTATATAGATATATCAATACCTTGAAGAACAACATGTATCTCGTTTCATTACAGATTTTTCTTGATATATGCACAAAAGTTGGATCTATGGGTTCCACAATATTGTTTGACAATCTAACCAAAGAGTTAGTTTTAATATCAAAATATCTTCTAATTATCGTTGTTGAGTGCTGAAATTTCTTGAAAGCTATACAAATGGACTCATTGTGTGACATAATATAATGCGATGGCTATTACTCCCTGAGTATAAATCAAAATGATCTATGTAAATCAAAATTACTCTACAACTCATCCAGAAAGTCACAAAAAGTTATCCAAACAGTCAAAACATACTATGAATTTTGCCTAGACGGCTTCAGAATAGATCGTCGATCTATTTGTCACCTACAAATGATGACACATACAGTGACTTACACAAATTTGTCTGATAGTACTCATTGATAAGACTTACTGTAGTAGTCATGATTGCTCATCATTCAACTATCTCTATAATTTCCTCTTTATTTGATGGGTCTATCTTGTTATTTTATGCATGTTAGAAAATATAAAAAATAACAAGTTACATTAAAAGTGAATAACTCATAATCAAAGCAAGACAACTAGTCATACACATAAATGCTGAAATGACTTATAATTAAAGTATTACAAATAATGTGAAATATAAATACTGGAATGTCACATGAACACGCCCCATAATATAATTCAGTTTAAAATTTTAAATCATTACACACCATACTCTAAAATAGAAATAAATAAACACAAACTAACTAGACTTATTGTCTAAAAAATTACGGAGATAAGGAATCCTCCGTTTCGACACTATCATCATGATAGCCTCTCTCTCTCTTTGATCCTCTAGAATTTTATAGCGAATGACTGCAGGAATATATCATCTAATATCTTTGGAGTAGAGTCTAGTAGCTTCATAATTTCTGTCATAGTTGGGTATCCTTGAAGGGCCGTGCTAGCGTTGAATGTCATGCTGGTGAAGGTTGTAATGAGCTGTGAAATCTACTAGATAAATGTTTGGCCTTGATTTTTATTTTTATTTTTACACTTCTAGGTGGAGGGTGGAGGGTGGAGGGTGCAAGTGCTTGGAATGACCTGATTTACCTTATTCTCTCACCTATGGTGCTTCCTTTTTGAACTTCATTAGAATGAGCAAATTCGAGCTCATTCAAATTCTGGTGGAAGTACTGAGTTATTGCCTAGACACTGTAGCCCGTAGCTTCTATACCGAGAAACACATAATCAAATTTATCCTCAATTTCAGGGTATATGCCAAAGATTCTAAATCTTTTTGCACTAGACAGAACCTACAATTGATAAATTCACAGTTTAATAAATATGAGAATATTAAGAATTCATATAATATTTTCTATTTATTGAATTTTTTTTTCTCTTCACCAATCTTTTGATGCATCCAATGTTTTCCAATCATTTTTTCAATTTATCTTATTTGTTCTTCAACTGAGTTTTATCATACAATCTTTCTACTTTTTCATAAAATTTTTTTATTATGTTTTGTTATCTTTATAAAAGTGCATAGTTAATATTTTGTCAATTTCTATCTCTTTCAAGTATAAATCATAGAATATGATTTTGACCCCAATTTCCTAAATGACAGCCATACCACATTCCTTCAGTTTTTCTATCTAATGTATTATGTAGATAACACATTTGGAGGAAATAATATAACTTAGCTAACAATTAAAAGGTAATTATAAAAAATGAAAAAAAAAATAATAGTAGCTCAAATTCGAGCTCATTGAGATAAATTTATCAAAGAATGCTCCATCTAAGATTATCAATTGTATCAATATATGCTTTAAGACCAGATAGTATCTGTGGTTAACGGTGACATGTGTGCTCTAAGACCATATAATATCTATAGTTAATGACTTAGTGTGTGCTTTAAGAGCAGGTAGTATTTGTGGTTGACAGTGTATTCTGTGCTTTTAGACCAGGTAGTATCTGTGACAAAAAGTATGGATAATTATAAAAACCTTTTTTCCATCCTTGCTCTACTTAACATTACGAAAACCAAATGCGTCAAAACAACACACTTTATTGTCATCAATTCAAAGCCACAACCAAAATCAGAGCCGACCACTACCAACACCTAACATTCAATAGAGACCACCAAACTGCGCCCACACGAACACCAATAGCTAGCTAACAAGAGAGCACCAGGCCAACAAACCACACTACAACAATCAAGCGTATTAATCCATCTTTGTGCGTTGCACGAAACTTATAACAAACTTTACTTACTATGTGTGTGCATATATGGCTGTGCCTTGATGCTTTACAAATAAAGTTTACTACCACACCCACACCCACAGCCAACAGGACCCACACCCACACCCACACCCACACCCACACCCACACCCAACAGGCAAGAGAGACCAACAAATCACGAAATCACAAGCATATCACTCTATTTTTTGGTGTTGCACGAAACATATAATGAACTTTACTTACTATATTTGTACATATGTGGTTGTGCCTTGGTGCTTTACAAGTAAAGTTCACTGCCACAA